TTCAGGTGAGACATGCAGATTAAACTTACTTTTTACTAAATCATTTACCTCATCACTATTTTTTACCTCAACCAAATTTGTAACATTCTCTTAGCTTTTAATTACTCAAATAAAGTGAACCCAATTCTAGTGTTTCCCTAATCTCAGTTCATGGAAGGTTTCCCATTTTTAACACGGGCTGCAATAGGACAGTACCTTTAAACCCCAGGGACTCACATTTTATCGATGCCAAATGTAAGATGTAAAGTGTTAACTAATTTTCATGAAATGATGTTATTTTATCGCCTGATATAATTCAAGATTAAACGCCCTTCAAGATTTATACCAAACACAAAATCTGAGATTTCATTGCGCCAATTCTTCAGATTAAGTCAAGAAATTATGGAAGCAGGATAAGCGGAAGGCATATATGAATTCATTTCAAATGTTGTCTGGAGACTATCTTGTTATTTTATCCATATATGAATGGAAATCAAGCTTTAATTATCTCCCGTTTTGCTTAACAATTTATTTGATATCAAAAGTTAGGAAAGGGATTATACTATAGTATTACATTACGACCAAAATATTTACATCAACACTACTTTTGACCTCATCCATTGTGTTTCCCCGGTTTCTACTACTCCATGTTAGTCCCGAAATGACATAGTTTGTATCGAGTGAACGTTAAACCCGATTTGTCTCTCTGGTTGTGTTTCTTCTCATGTAACATTATAGGGTATATTTTAGTTCTATGAACGGTGCTCTGTATAAAATATTGAAGTGATAAAACAAATGGGTGACAACGACAAATAGGCTAAGTAGGTATTTTACAAGATTCAAGTTTCTTAGACTAACTCACAGACGATTCCTGTCGCCATCAATTGCTGGGGTTGAATTTCCCTGTCAGACATCATCCTGCGTTCCTAGCCACACGATAAGCCGCCTCAGCTTAGAGGCCTGGAAACAGACAGCCTCCTCGGCTTAGAGTTCTAATAGAACGCACTTTCAGCCTCTGGTTCGCGGCCGGGATAGAGACAATATGTAGTGTTTCAGCTGTTAGGTCTGAGTTCTAGGTTTGTTAAACTCAGACTGTGGATGTTATAATAACCCCCAATGTACTATCAGATATGATGTAGTTTCCGGTATTTGATATATAAACATAGTTAAACCAACAAAGTGTTCAAGAGTCAATTTATATTTGAAGTTTTATACACAACGTAAAGTCAAACTCAGTTCATATAATTGACTGTAGTGTCACAGTCCTCTCTTTTCGGGACCGTGGCGAAGGATAGTCACGTCTGTCCCCGTACTGTCAAACTAAAAGGACTATTTTTCACTAACGATAGATATCATATCGAGACGTGTTTACAAACAATAAAATGTTTAATCAATTCGTATGTCACGTCAAGACTAGATTTTAATTTTTTGCTCTCTGGTCTTCCTAACGCATTAATTTATAAATGAGAAAAGTGCAAAACTCTGCAGCTAGGTTAACAACTCAAACCAAATATTAATTGCATATTACCCAAATATTGTATAATCTACATTGGTTACTTATCTCCTACTTCTTCTTACTTATAAATGCTTAAATAACTGCTGTCCGTCTGTTAATCGTTGGCGTTATTTAAGAAAAATTCGAAAAGGCGCTTATTGTTGGAGGTTTTCCATCGGGGTAATACATCATTTTAATTTATGCACAGTAATGATAGTTTTATGCATTACCACGACTTCGTGCTCTACAGAAGTTAAATATACAAATGAAATAAATACACCAAAATACAAATAAGACATACATGTAAACATTGCAATCAATTTAAAATCATATAAATGTTATTAAAATAATGTAAACAACGTACGTGTCAACGAGGTCGTGTGATGTGACATGAAACTTAGACCTACAACAATGCACGTGAACTTAAAGGTTAACCATCTTCTACAGTTTTAAAAGAACGATTTTTCCATTACCTTTGTGAAACAAGAGTGATAAAGAAGGAAGAGAAAATATGGTTATATGTATAGGCCCGTAGCGGGGGTCAAGAGGGCCACGTTTGTCGTTGGCTTCGTATTGGGTCCAATGGAAAGGGCGCCTTTGGCGCCCATTGGGTGCGCAGGTTTGTACCAGGGGAGGCAGCTGTCCCCCTTGCCCCCCTCCCGCCCCCCGCTAGCTAGGGGCCCCCGATGACACTTCGTTATAAGAAAGCTATGACATGACAATCAAAACGCCCAGTTGCCACACATTCTTTTGCGATTGATTTTAGTGAAGTTGTTTGGAATGTTCATGACAATACGAGATATATTGAAATATATGTTATTGACAAAATTATGTAGATATAAGAAATGAAATGAAATGAAATGGGGTTAACGTCCTACTGTTTGTTATGAGAGAAAATTTTCACGGTCAGCGGCACTATGGCCAACTGCGAAGGGATCTTTTCCGTGCATGCCAATGTAAACACGGGACTTGAGTTTTTCGTCCCATCCGAACGACTAGACAGCTATCCTTGTCAGACCCTCCGTCCTGTATCACTGACAAGGGGAAACCACGTCGGAAAATCCCGGTGAACTTTCTCGGCCAATGCAGGGATCGAACACACGACCTCCAGACTAGTGAGCCAGCGTCTGACCCACCTAGCCACTGTGGCTCCCTGTGTAGGTATAAGACAGAAATATATTGTTTAATCACTCCGGCACGTTATGATATGGCATACCAGACATCCTATAAATTAATCTAGTAACTTGTACCATGCGTAGCGGACATTTTAATTAATGGCATCTGATAAATATAAAATATGTTCTCCTTGTTGATTGAGTGTAATTAAGATACGATATGTATCCTTAAAATATGACCATTAAAATCGAGGAAGGGAGACGGGCGACATCTGCTTAAGGAGTAGACCGTCTGGTCTAGCCTGGTAACTATACGCACCTGTGTGGCAATGTATATTATTCTGTATGCTTCCTGATAATACATATTATTACACCCAACGTGTATCCTGTTTCCTGTAAATAGAGTTTCCAGTTCAGAAATGAACTATATTAAGAAACTTATGAACTGCATGCTTTGGGACGAAAACCTGAGGTCCGCCAGTCTGTACACAGTTCGCATATGGAATTGGGTGAATGGAAGGTATAAAAACCGCTATTTGGATAAAGGTCTTCCATATATCGTTGATAAACCACCAGAATGTCTTTGGATATCGTTTACATCCGTCACTTAATAAGCATAATACTACCAAAAGAAGCCCTTAACGTCCACATACTATAGTTCACGGTAAATTGCTACGTTAAAATAAACATTTAAAATAGTGATTGGTTTATATTAAAGGGATGTTATATACATGTATCCCCCAAGGTATTTAATGAATCAACATTTGATTCATACCACTGCGAAAAAAAACAAACCTATCACAATATTTCTAAGGCCTCTGGTCCGGATACGCGAGTCCGTCTGCTCACACTGATCAGCACGTGTTAATGCAGTCATCTTTGACAGAGATATTACTAGACTCGTAATTCTCTGTGAAACAGATTGCCGTCTGCTGTGTCCAGAGTGCGGGGTGGTTACAGCCCACTGAACACAAATTTGTGATACTTTTTTTTCCATTAATCCGCCTCCACGTAGGGGATCATTAGCGGCGAGAGAAAACTCACGCGGTTAGACAGACGATCCTGCTTCTTGGCATGTACAAACCTTCCTTGAATGACACGCTTTAAAGCACCCGAACGTATTCATATTGAAGCATAATTATTTATTATTTTATTTTGTCAAACCAGATTTCCATAAGTGTGATCTTTAGATTAAGATATAAAGCCATTTTCAAACCAAATACTTGGCGTTAAAAATAATGTCGACATGTTATCTACAGACCACGGGTTTTAGTGAATCCTTGACCTCTTGTTAACTAACATAAATATGAAAGAAACAGATAAAGCCCAATAAATAATGATATGGCAGATCACTTCCTAGCAATGATAAGTGAAAAAAATCCACAATCACTTTCAAAGTAACTAAACTAGAACGAATGACATTTTCAGAAGTTTTGGCCATATTGATGGACTTTTCAATGTATAATTGGAGGTATGTTGTTAATATTTATGGATTGCATTAACAGTAGTCTACCGTTGACTCTAACGTGTATTTGTCGGTAGTGTCATTTACCCAAGTGACTTCTTGGATTATCCCTTGCTAAATTCTTTTTCCGACGTTTAATCGTGTATGACGTTTAGGTCTATTAATCTTATCCAAACAGTTAGCCAATAGATCATCATAAGAAACGCTCCTTTACGTCACTCAGTATATAGTATCGATGTAAGCGCTATACGGCTTTGGCATCGACAGGCTGCCAGTTTGTCCTGTTGGGTCCACGTGGGTAATCTGGTATTTTTCTAGTAAGATTGAAGGTTTCTACTTTCCATATAATATACCAAATATGTAATACCTTTATTGGAAATAACTACCCTATGAATACTTTCTTCGGAATTTATCTTTAAATAAACTTATCCGAAGTTTTAATATCGCTCCATTAAAGTAAAAATAAAAAAGTACATTTAAATTTAATAAATATTATATTATTTGAAAAACTCTCTAGTAGAATGTTTTATAAACACAAGGAAAAAAATAATGATAAATCAATACTTGGCTGCATAAAGTAGGTTCCATTGAAAACAAACAACCAAATAGTGCAGTTTTACTTGAGACCCAATCACATGAAACTGAGCCCGTGTAAAATCGCAACATAGAAGAAGGGGGTGGATTAACGCTCATTTTGGTCGATCGAAGGAAACTTATGGTGGGTTCTTACCTGTAAATTTTGACGTCTTAAAAGGGAGTTGCTTCCCTTTTATTAATTTATTTTGCTATTCTTTTAATTTGACAGAATAAAATATCGCCAGTGTTCAAATTGAAACCAAATTACATTTGATATTAATTTTATTGTTGATATATTCCTATCAATTATTAGTTTTTGTTCTGTAAGCTGGAAGTTCGAAACTCGCATAACTAACTCTGTACTGTGGAAGGAAACTTCCGGTACAAATGTTGTGTTTCTGATTCAGCCTTGTGTATATTTTCACGTAGTTTGACTAAATAATAAAATTTTTGTAAATGGATGGCTTGCATGTGTCATTATAATATCTGCAACGGTCGTATTAAAACTGTGAAATGGCCGAAGCGAGAGACACCGGGGAAGCACTACCCCCAAAGGGAACAGTAGAGCAAGGTAAGTTACATTGTTGATGAATGGTCGAAAGTTCTGCTAGTGCTACGTCGTTGAGAGTCGAATGAATTTGACATGTAACATGTAAGTTTTCTCTGATTTTATCATAAATTAATGATCGAGTATATATCAATTTTTTAAAATTGCTAGCACTAAACAACAAAGTGTCAAAGAAAAGGTCAAAGAAATTTGTACCTAATTAGTTTAATTGAATGTGTATGAGAATTGACCACTCATCCCACAATGTTTGTGGTTTATTACAGATTTAACTTCCAATACAATAAATATGATATTATTTACACTTAAACTTTTGTGGCATTGTTGGCTGATCTGACACCCAAACCCTAACCCATAATCCACATACAAACCTATGAAAAAAGTAGTCAGATCAACCAACTTTTGTTGAAAAATTGTTAAAAACACAAAAATAAAAAGTATAGAAGACCACTCATCCCACAATAGTTGTGTTTGTTTTAATACATGGTCCGAGATAGAAGACCACTCGGACCTAATTAACACCTTAGTATTTCAAGGAAAAAAAATGTATTAAAATATTAAAACAAACAAAACTATCAATTTATCAAAACATCAATATCAATTTGCTAAAACATCACTTTTTTATTTCAAAATCAAATTGATCCAAGTCGTCTTCTAATCTTGGTGAGAGTGATCTTCAAAGAAAACAATTGTATTAAAACAAATACAACTATCACTTTATTTGTTGGTCCAAGTGGTCCTATATCTCGGCCCACGTATTAAAACAAACACAACTATTGTGGGATGAGTGGTCTTCTAAACTTAGTTCTAGTGGTCATCTATCTTGATCCGAGTGTTCTTCTATTGGTCCGAGTGGTCTTTGACTGAGTAGTCTTTGGGATGAATTTTTGGGATAACGTTTAATTTAATAGTGTTGCAGAGTTTTGTTATGAATGAATTCATTTCTTGATGATTCCAAAATCATGTTCTTTAAAAGAGATGTGTCAGATTAGATTTGATATTGTATATATCTTTTTAAATACCAAAATGTTCAGATTTATGTCCTGTTATAATTAAACACTGTCTATTATCTACATGTACTTTATGTTAGAGTTTTATCTCATTTTTGCAATTGTTTTTGTGACAAGCGTGAATATCACAATTCAGAAAGTTTATGACATCAAGCTTGAGTTCAATAACCAAAATATATATGATGATTGTTTGGTGCGTTTTTAAAATATTTGAATTAAAAATCCAGACAGCCCAAATTAAAATGAAATGAGAGGTAAACGTGACATCACGATTCTTTGAGAATAATGGAAGGAGCATTTAAAAAAATTAGACCACCAATTCTGTCATATATCACTTGTCACTAACGGAACTTGAAATTGCCACAACTACTTTCATATATCTTGGAATGATCAATATGAATGATTTTTGATACGGTACTGATACATGTACATATCTGCCTCATCATATACTATTCAAAAAAAGTAGGGGATATTTGATTTTTAAGTGTTATTAAAGTCACCTAATGAAACTGACGAAGAAACAAATGACAAAATGAAATGAAGTTCACATTCATCGATTTATTCCAAATGATCGTTAGACTAAGTAAGGCACAGACTGACCATTATAAGGGTAAAATGATACCCGGAAGATGAAACGGCGGCCATGACGTCGTGCGAACGGCACAACATGGACTGCCAAGATGTTGTCCCGGTAGTACTGGCCTGTAACACGCCCTGCAACAACATGTAAAGCCGTTCTTCCAGCAACAGTGATGCCTCCCCACACCATAACAGAACCACCCCCAAATCGATCATGTCTGATGACGTTAACGTCTTGGAAGCGCTCGTTTCGACGACGCCACACCCTCCTACGTCTGTCCAAAAAATCAACAGTGAACCTTGACTCATCTGAAAACATCACATTGCTCCAGCGTCAATTATCCCAGTGTTGACGATCTCTACACCAACGACGTCTTGCCTGAATGTGATGATCTCTCAAACAAGGGATCACGCGAGGACGTCGGGCGCGAAGGTGACCCCTATGCAGTCGATTCCGAATCGTCAGGCCACTCACTCTCACACCAGTGTCTGTTTGAAGACGAGCGCTGATCTGATTTGCTGTGAAGACACGATTTCTCAAGGCCAAGGTACGGATAAATCGATCCTGGGCTTGAGTTGTCGCCCTTGGTCGACCTTAGCGTGGTCTGTCCTGTACAGATTGTGTATCACGGTATCTGGACCATAGCCTGCTTATGACAGACTGAGAAACATTCATCGTCCGCGCCACAACCGCCTGTGTTGTGCTGATCTGTAGCATGCCAAGGGCACGTAACCTTTCATTTTGGGTAAGCCGACGCATATCAAAATTTGTTTTCTGGTCACTAAAACAATTAAACTGATGTTTCCACCCTGGAATTCAATGCCACAATGACTGTAACATTCAAAGTCAGAGTCGTGCAAATCTTGGGTTGGACCCCCATGATGATCCCAAGCATCACCTGCATTCCATGCGGTAGCTATTGGTGCGTTTGGGCGTCACATGTAACTGGAAATGTTTCTTCTGTTAGGTTCTATAGTGACTTTTTTCGTAGTCATTTGCATATTTTAGTATTATGCCCCCAAAATCAAATATCCCCTACTTTTTTTGAATAGTATATATTACATGACATTTTGGTTCCATGACATTTCGGACTCAAAACAAATATGGCCTTGACATTTCAGACTCCGGTAGGTAGGTGATTTTTCGGACTCGGGAATGAATTGAAAGAAAAGGTTGAACACAAAAATCAAATCAGTTTATAATAAGCCAAAAACGATTTTATAAAAGGAACATTGTCCGAAACTGAATCCGAAACCTCATTATTATGAAGTCCGAACAGTCGTTAAGTAAGTCTGAAAAGTCGTCAGACTAAAGGGCCAATACACGTTCAAATACATAGCATTGATGTGCAATTACCCATACACGATTCAATGATTTTCCATCAAAAATCAGTCTCGTTTTGAACTCCGACGAAAGGCCACGAAGGAAATGGTCAAAAGACTGTTTTTTGAAGCGACAAGAGTATGGTCACGTCATCCTTCTCTGAGAGTTATGGGCCAACGAACCAGAGGACTTTCATAACTTCTTCAATAACATGTCGTACGCAGCGTCATTCTTGTCCCGATTACTGTAGTCAGGCGACTTAATTTTCCACAGGGCTGGCAAGGTCTTGTAGACATTTAGCACTTCAATCAGAAACTTTTTTATATGCCCACATTTTCATGTGGACGTACATGTATATTGTCATCGCCCCTGTCCGTCCGTCCACAATTGTTTGTGAACAGTCTACAGGTCACAATTTTTATCCGATTTCAATGAAACTTGAAATATAGGTTTATCACCCTAAGAGTTTGGTTCCTTTCGATATTGGCATCTATCGAACCATAACTTCATGGATTATGGCCCCTGATTGTACGAAAAATCACGTTTTTGGCTTGTGAACACTGTAGAGGTCACAATTTTTATCCGATTTTGTTGAAACTTGAAATGTAAGTTTATACCCCAAGGATCTCGGTTCCTTTCGATATTCGCGCATATCGGACCGTAACTTCCTGAATTATGGCCCCTGATTGTACGCAAAAACGTGTTTTTTGGCTTGTGGACCCTATAGAGGCCATAATTTTTATCCGATTTAAAAAAACGTATTATTATATCACCGTTAAACCCTAAGGACGGTTGAGTTCGAATTTCGTGAAAATCCGCTTAAAACTGACAGACAAAATGGCCACCGTTTGTTCTCAAATAGTGTAAAAATATGGTATATCAAGGTTGTGGACCCTATAGAGGTCACAATTTTTATCCGATTTTGTTGAAACTTGAAATGTAAGTTTATAACCCAAAGATCTCGGTTCCTTTCTATATTTGCGCATATCGGAATGTAAGTTCATGAATTATGGCCCCTGATTGTACGAAAAATCACGTTTTTAGCTTGTGTACCCTATAGAGGTCATAATTTTTATCTGATTTAAAAAATCATATTATTATATCACCGTTACACCCTAAGGACGACTGAGTTCGAATTTCGTGAAAATCGGCCAAAAACTGACAGATAAAATGGACGCCCTTCGTTCTCAAATAGCGTAAAAATATGGTATATCAAGGTTGTGGACCCTATAGAGGTTACAATTTTTATCCGATTTTGTTGAAACTTGAAATGTTAGTTTATAACACAAAGATCTTGGTTCCTGTCGATATTTGCGCATATCGGACTGTAACTTACTGAATTATGGCCCCTGATTGTACGAAAAATCGCGTTTTTAGCTTGTGGACCCTATAGAGGTCATAATTTTTATCCGATTTAAAAAAACGTATTATTATATCACCGTTACACCCTAAGGACGACTGAGTTCGAATTTCGTGAAAATCGGCCCAAAACTGACAGACAAAATGGCCGCCCCTCGTTCTCAAATTGCGTAAAAATATGGTATATCAAGGTTGTGGACCCTATAGAGGTCACAATTTTTGTTCGATTTTGTTGAAACTTGAAATGTAAGTTTATAACTCAAAGATCTTGGTTCCTGTAGATATTTGTGCATATCGAATTGTAATTTCCTGAATTATGGCCCTTGATTGTAGGAAAAATCATTTTCGTTTTAGCTTGTTTTCTATCCATCTCTCGAAAATGTGGGCGTATCCTGCCTGGCAGCTGCTGGTTTCTGTCGCTTTCAATGAAATATTGTTCAAAGCATTGAACGGAGCCCACACATGCTTCAACATATTGACGACCAGCAATAAATATCAATGGTGGTTTGAATCGTCAATATTTTGAGTCAATGGTTCTTTTGACATCAAAAGGCCCAATACACGGTAAAAAATTTTGATTTTGACTTTCTTTTTTTTTTTATGCGTATGCCCCCTTTAGTCCAAAAAGTCGTTTGTGTGGAGTTCAAAAGGTCGTACTACCTCTTCATAAGCTTAAAATCATAAAACATGCCAGTTTCTATGTACATGTATTAAAAGGTTGGTTTCTTTCAATA